AGGTGGGTTTGGAACATCTCCAGAGATGGAGACTCCACACCCTCTCTGGGCAGCCTGTCCCAGGGCTCCGTCACCCTCACAGTGAAGAAGTTTTTCCTTAAGTTTGTCTGGAACTTTGAATGATTTTAAAGTGTTTACTGGTACTAGGATTTTATAGAACTGGGAGATTTCACACCTCTCTTTTAGTCACTCAAAGTTTTAGGATGTTTTTCCTGTTCAGTGAAGCCATGACTCCGAACAGGCTTCGTGCAAAGCGTGTGTTATGTTTGCTTTTAGAAATAAATTTATACCATGCGTAACATACAATTTCTGTAGTCAGACCTTTGAGAATACATCTCTGACAATCAATGTTCTAAGAAGACAGGCTTCTGTCTCTCTCTGAACTATGAATTTTGGCTAATTCATAAAATACTATGCGAGAGTATTGAATTGCCTGCGTGTATGTATAGGAAATGGTTAGGGAATGCATCAAGAGAAAAACAGCTGTGAAGTGTTCTGCTGCCAGACTGGTGAATTATCTTACTGTGCAACAAGTGAATCTGGCTTTCTCTTTAGTTGTAGAGAGTGTTCTAAAGAAGGAGGAACATCGACTCCAAGACAAGAGGTTGTCCGGATACTACCCGCTGAAAGTAACCCGTTACTGTGAAAACGTAAGCTCATTCATCATTCATCTAGTTGTACTTCCATTGCTGTGTTAACCAGGACTTAACTTCTCTAATTCACAATTCTAGGTCTTCATCTCGGTCACATCTGTCCTCAATATGTCTATTTTCAAAGATCAATTTGTTTTAGAAGATCTGGTACAAGAACTTCAAAAGAAGAGCACAGCTTTGAGCTTTGGTCCTTTGCAATCCAATGGGCATATTTCTGTTCAAGGGTCATTTCCAGCAATCAAATTGTTAAGAGACCTTCTCTTACTCAAAGCAAAATCCCTTTCAGAGAAGGACAAAAGAGAAGAAAGTCAGTCCCATCAGAGACCAAGGAGGAGTCTACAGCAGCACAGACTTACTGCAGAGACAGATAATTTCACTCATGATGCAGATGGGGAAAAACAAGTGGTGGTTCTTGACACAGATATATTTCACTACATGAAGTACTTTTTTCCCAGGACATTCTTAGTAAATGATCATGTTAGAATTTCTGACGTCACTGGTGGTGATATAACTACTGTGTACATTGAGAAAGCTGGAAGGAGGTCTGATGCTGAACAGGTATTGAGAGTCAAAAAGAAAATTGAAAATCAGTCTATAAAACTCCATAATGTTTTACGTAAAGAAAGGATCTGCTTTGAGAAGCACAGCAGAGATGAAAAGAGGAGATATAAACAAGTGTGTGAAGGTCTAAAAACCCGTTACCCTTGTGTTTTGGTCATTCCTTATGATACTCACATCGATCTTATAGGAAATTCTTCTGAGATTTTTGCCTTTACAAAGGAGCTGGGCAAAAAGATTCAGAACCTGTGGCAAACCAAGTAGAGAGTTAGTGTTCAGGCTTTTTACACATCGTGCTTCTCATACAGACCGTGCTGGTGCAACCTGGGCATCTCTGGGGCACTGCAGAGCTGTTGTGTTTCTCCCACTCCCAGGCTGGGAAGTCTGCACATGAGGGTAAACAAGCCCATTCCCCAAAACCACCACATCAAAACAGGAAACAAATCATCTCTGTATCTTTCACGAGCTTAGAGACTGAAGAAGTTAAGCCTCTTCTGTCCAGATAGAGACACCTTTCCCTTTTGTTAGCTGCGCTCTGAGCACAGGCACACTCATTCTCTCTTGCTGTTGGGGGCCATATGATGAAAAAAGAGGATTTTTTAAAAAAAGTTCTCATTAATATAAGAAGTCAGGCTGACAAAGCTGGGTGAGCCAACCTGATAGGGAGTACTGCCCTGAAGTTGAGTTATGTTTCTTTCTGCGAGTAGATGACCACTGAAAACAGGAATGGTGGCCTTTTTCTGTTGCCTTTATCTGCAGAAGGAAGTTCTCATCGTTGAGATGCACAAAGAAGATAGAGCTTTGACACTTGAAGGGACAGAATGCTTATTAAATTTGCAGGCACATCATGTCCTGAGGAAGACCTTAGAAGATGGCATTGGAAGTTCTTGATGGTAGAAAATAAGTGAGTTTGTTTTCATAGGAGCAATAATGGGGTTTTTTTCTCCACCTGTAATGGTATCTGCAGCATCCCTTGAGAGCACGTTAATTTAGACATGAGAACATAGCCAAAGTTTTGATGTGAATATCTTGGGGTATTTATGCAAATCCATTTCTATATCTGTTACAAGGGTCTGAGGCATTTGGACCCTAATTTAGTGCTTTTTATAAAACCAGTTTAGAAAATAAGTTTTATTATCTGTGTCTTCAGAATACTTTCTCAAAACACACAAGAGTGACGGCTTTTTTGTCTTACTCACAGGAAAAGTTTTAAGTTTTTAATTGCCATTAAAGATATCAGTTATACAAAATATCGTGTCCGTGTTCTTGTAAACCAACCCCCAAGACTTTTGGTTGGAAGCCCAGACCTAAAGCCTAAGAAATGCTTTAGGCATTTTCCTGTCATGACTAATTATCTGTTGCAATTATGCCAATGAAAGATAAAGTGTTACAAAACTAGTGCCAAGTTCTGCGTGTTGAATAGTGGGAAGATGATGAGCCTGAGTACATTGCTGAACTGGAAGTGATGGGAGTGGTATTTAAAGGCTTCTTCCGAGTTCCCCTCTAGCCAGTAGGTTCACCAAGGGGGTTGGAGATGGGGCTGAAGATGGGTACGCGGGGTCAGGCCCTGGGAGAGCCCCACTTCTGCTGCCCAGGAAGAGCAAAGAGCCCTCCAGCGCTGGGCTGTTGTGGGTACTTACAGCTGAAGCAAAGATGGGAAGTTTTTCAACCTTGTAAAAGAGAAAATCCTCAATGAAGGACAATCCTGTCATGAAATTAGTGCTCTTTACTGCTATCCAGATTGGTCTTCCCTTCTCTTTTCTGAAAAACCTCATTTTTTTTTTCTAATTCAGAGCATTAGTATTTCCTGTTCACTTCAAAGAATGTTTAGGTCTAGGCTGAAAAACCAGTGGCACTGGTGTCAGTTGGAATCCTGACTGGTTACTACTGGCTGAGCATCGCTTTTTGCATCAGGTTGGACAACAGAACAGTTTGCAGCGCTGGTACAGGTGTCATTCAGGTCATTTTTACTGCATGATTTTCAATCAAAACCTGAAAATCTTGAAAACATCACAGTTGGATAAAATTTAATGGTTGAATTCTGGTTCAGTTGTAACAGCTCCT